CAATGACGGTCAACACTTTAGTTAAATCTTGTGCTGCGTTTCAATCCATTCTGGTACAGAACAAATTGTTGCCCAAGAAACTTGCCAATAACATGTTCCCTCTAGGAGATGCTTTCGACAGCGATGTTGATCAGTATCTCAAGGAACTTCCACAATTTTAATTTTTTAATATGAACACTGTCATTACTGATGGTCCTGCACAAGCTGCACATAATGATTTTTCTTCTCCTTCACATACCCTCTTGCACATTTCATTTGCCACTCACAATGTTAGATCATTCACTAACATTGCTAAACAAACCTCTGTAGTTGAATTGTATTCTTCACTCAATTTAGATATTATTGGGCTACAAGAGACAAACTTTTCTTCCTTTTCTACACATACTTTTAATCGCATGTTCGCATCCAAATTCACTGGCTTCTTTGGTTCAATCTCTGATTCTCAACCACAGAAATCTGGTTTCAGTGTGGGTCTTTTACTTCATCCACACCTAGCGAATCACATTTTCCACCATAAATCTAAACATAATCGTATCATTCTCATAGATCTGCAATTTGCCAATAAACAAAAATTACAAATAATTAATTGTTATCCTCCACCTGGTAATCATACTATTAGGAAACAGATACAAGTAGACCTCTTAAAACTTTGACAACTCCTCATCATCACGTGATCTCTTGACAGAAGAAAGTGATATTAAAAAAGAAGTAGCAAGACATTTTCAGATAGCTGCGAGTTCAACACATAAATCTGTTACCTTAGATAATAACTAAACACCATTTTATCAACCTATCGATAATGTTAATAATGATATCTACCGTGATCTCATGATAGCACCTTCTGCAGATGAATGGTACTCTGTCATCAATTAACTTCCTAATGACAAAGCACTAGGACCATCCAAGGTATCCAATGAGATGCTCAAACACCTGGACCCTAAACAAGAAAGGCACTATGGTATATTATTTGTGGATGTCTTGATACTTCATTATTACCGCATCGATGGAATCATACCTTTATCTATCCAATTTCTAAACCAAAACCTTGGGAATATGACCTTAATAATACCCATCCTCTAACACTATTGGAATGTCCATGAAAAGCACTAATTAAGCTCCTTAATCGAAGATTATCCACCATAATTATCTAACACAATGTCCTTAAGGGTCTTAATTTTACTGGACTTCATTTTAAATCCACGTTTGAACCTTTACATATTTTAGATAATGTGAAATATGATGCAGATCATCACAAAAAAGATCTTTGGATACTCATGCAGGATATGTCTAAAGCATACGATCGTGTGAATCTTTATATGCTCTGTAAAGTAATAGAGCGTCTTCATATCCCTAACTCATTTATTCATTTTGTTATAAAAATGTTTGGCAATAGATTTAATCAAATATTCACACTTTTTGGAAACACTGAATCATATCATGTGTTGTCAGGCATAGACCAAGGAGAAATCTTATTCCCACTGCTGTGATGCATTTATTATGATCCACTTCTTTGCAGAATACAAAATTCAGCGTTGGGCTATTCTCTCTCCCATACGTGAAAATCTAACGTATTACTTAATGATGAGGAGACTGACTCTATCAAAATATCAACATTGGCCTACATGGACGCTACCTTATGGATTGCTAAATCACAAGATGATTTATCACAAATTTTGAACATTGTGGATAGCTTTTATAAGCTCAACTTTATTAAAGTCAACTGGGACAAATCGGTCTTGTTGATCAATAATAAAAAAAATAATCGACCGTTTAGTTGTATGATCAATAACAGTCTCATGAACATCACACCACTACCTCATAAAGAGTCAACCAGATATTTAGGTGTATGGATTTCTCTTTTCAGAAATGGTCAGTAATGAAATCAAAAGCGCAATCAACATTTTGTTCAAGAAGAAATTAACGGATAAGCAATTGGTTTACATCTTTAATACTGTTGTAATTCCAAGAATTGAATACCGATCGCAATTAACAGCATTCACCTCTCTACAATGTGACCAACTTGTAACGCTGTATCGTTCCTTCTTGAAAAAGAAATTAAATTTACCACAGGCTACTCCGTCATCAGTCATACACTCGCATCTTTTTTACAACCTTTCTAACTTCTATTCGAGGCAGTTAGAAGCACAGAGTGAGGCACTTCTCTATTCACTCAATGACACAAATTTGTTAGAAAAATTGACAAAGCTCTGCATACGTCAACTTCAACAAGCGGAATGGTTACACATATCCCCTCTTGTTGATTGGCCATATCTTAAATGCCATAAACCCAATGATTGGATCGCTAACGTTCTGTGTGAATGGAAAAATTTAAACTTCTCTACACCAATTCCTAATGTGAATTATCATTGCATCAAAGGAGGTTCAACTCCCATACAACACATACTACCCAATGAATACCAGAAGCTTGCCACACACTTAAGAAGGATGTCGCTTATTTTTACAGAACAACTTTCTACATCAGATGGTAACACTATGTTAACCTTTTTCGATTTAACAGTTTATCAGAATTCCCCGCAGGTTAGACGTGAACCTGCTTGGTTTAATTGGCTACAAACCTTATTAACTGTTGATATCACCTCAAGAGAATTGAGACAAAAAACGCCACATATTAAAAACTATTATTTTGACTTTTCCTCCTGTAAAAATAGCTAGAACCAACCCTTACGTACTTGATTAGAATTTAGGTGACAATCAACCCTTTATTAGCAAACTTCTTAAAACAAGTACCAACTTGGCGAATGTTATGCATGTCATACCTACTTCAAGCTCAAGTCATAAAACCATACTTACACTCTGTACCAGGTGTATTTATCACAATCCTTGTACCAAAATACCACCACAGACAAAAAATAGTAAAAATTGCTATTTCTTTACTATTTCTAGATATCTTTGTTTTTTTATTCCTACACTTCGTAATAATAGTGTTGAAAGGTTTCCTTGGTATTCATGGTCACGAAATCTCATTCATGATCTTGCTCTGACTTTCATCAATCAACGTAATAATCTTCACCTTCGTGTTTCTGCTACCCCCTTTATTCCTTTAATTCCTCCTTCTTTTATTGAATGATTTATTCCTTCATCACACTTTGCGACTCTTCTAACACTTAGATCAAATTTTAGCTCATCTACTAATTTAGAATTTTATACAGATGGCTCCCTCATTTCTCTTGGCTATCCTGCACTTAGAATGGGTTTGACTTGGTCAGAAACGGAGCCTTCTGCTCCATTATTATCATATTCTTCTGCATTAGTAACTTCGTTCCCCTCATCATCTATTGCAGAATTAGCAGCTGTCTTCACTGCAATTTTAGTCACACCACCAAATTGCCAAATCAAAATATACACAGACTCTAGTATAGTGATATCACAATTTAATAGATATAAGCTTTTATCACGTATATCACCATCTCAACGGCCTTTCTTAAAAATCAATAACGTATACTTATGGCATAGACTTTTTCAAATCATCAACACATTATCTCTCTCTGTTACACTCCATAAGGTTAAAGCACATTCAGGCGAATCAGCAAATGAAGCAGTTGATAAATTGGCAAAGGCTGCATTATCCTCTTCTGCCATTAATTTTACTATCAACAACCAATCTCATACGTCGATTAAATTCAATGATCTTATGATTGCTTCTCCAATCCGATCGTTCGTTAAAGATTGTTTACGTGTAAACACTGTTACAACATTTCTAAACCTTAACTGTAATCATCAGTACTCTTCATTAGCAGTAGATTGGGTAACCACAGCATTCTATATCTCTGACAATAGTTCTTCATTAACTACTAATTTCAATGCCTCGGTATTTAAACGAAAGAAAATACTAAAGCTTCTTGAGATGTTACCAACACTGGAAGTGCTTAAAATCCGCCATCCTGCATTATATGACAACTCGTGGAAGTGCAACCATTGCAACATTGAATTTGAAAATTTCTTTCATATATGGACCTGCATTACGGTTTACCAGCAATTAAATGCTATTATTGACTTTTCAAATTACATCTCGCACAATTAACTCAATGTGATAATATCGACTACATTGATCAGCTTAATATGCTGTCTATGTCTATGAGTACACCCTTCTCTTTCATTGATCTTATCAAAGGAATTGTTCTGACAATTCTATTCAAGTTTATAAACGCATCGCTCACGTCGCAAGACAATGCTAGAGCTGCTACGTCACAATTTATGCATTTCATATTTGAACGCACACAGGTGATTTGGTGTGAAAGATGCTCA